CCAATGTGAACAATGTGAGACCCCCAGCGTGATAAATGCGAGCCCCCCCAATGTCATCAATGGGAGACACCACATTGTGATAAATGTGAGACCCCTCAATGTGATCAATGCAAGACCCTTCCTTGTCATCAATGGGAGACACCACATTGTGATAAATGCGAGACCCCTCAATGTGATCAATGCAAGACCCTTCAATGTCATCAATGGGAGACACCACATTGTGATAAATGTGAGACCCCTCAATGTGATCAATGCAAGACCCTTCAATGTCAACAATGTGAGACCCCCAGCGTGATAAATGCAAGACCCCCCAATGTGATCAATGCAAGACCCTTCAATGTCATCAATGGGAGACACCACATTGTGATAAATGTGAGACCCCTCAATGTGATCAATGCAAGACCCTTCAATGTCATCATTGGGAGACACCACATTGTGATAAATGTGAGACCCCTCAATGTGATCAATGCAAGACCCTTCAATGTCAACAATGTGAGACCCCCAGCGTGATAAATGCGAGACCCCCAATGTGATCAATGCAAGACCCTTCAATGTCATCAATGGGAGACACCACATTGTGATAAATGTGAGACCACTCAATGTGATAAATTTGAAAACTTAGCACAAAAATGGCTGAAAGATGTGTTATAAAATATTTAATGTTACTAGGACGATAAATGTCATAGTAAATATTACCATAAATGATTCATGATTTGTGTTTAATCGTTACATTGCATTGATGTGAGTAATCATGCGTTAATTGTGGATATCTTAACCAAGTCTGATGTGATACTAACAACATGCATGGTTGAATACAGGTATTAAAAAAGCTATGGTTTCTCATAAATTAGTTCGCTATGGGATATTTTGAGCTTTACTACAGAAATCTTAGTCAGGCTATTATTACAGACAGAGAGATAACCGAGTGACTAATCTTAACCTTGAATCTTATAATTTATTCTGATGCGATCTCTGATGAGAGAATGTTGGCATCAACAAAACGTTGATTTTAAAATAAAATCTCATAAAATTGTTTCTACTCTGGTGATAAAAAATGTACAGGACAACTGGGGCAGTTCAGTTAAAGGCCGGCAGTCGTCGTGTCACATCCTGTTCGATATGGGACTCATAGCGACGTATCAACGCATGTAAAATACATTGTTTATTTACAAGAAATTCGAACACGCGCTGCGCGACGACCACCCTGCTTTAAACCAATTAATACTACGGTAGTATCACATTCACCCTGGATTCCAATTCATACTAAGCTTAGAGAAAAACAAATTTTGGAAACAACCAATGAAACTTTGAATGAACTTTGAATGTTCTTTGCAACTCATGTTTTCACATGTCTCTTGCAATGTCAACTACTGGTCTCATAGTTAAGAAATTGAGACAATTAATGCACTCTGCCTACTTTTTCGATTTGCAATGAAATTTTTTCTTTTGATTGAAATGATGTATTCATCAGTACACAAGTTAATGCTTAGTCACTAAAATTTTTGAAATGTGGTTATCCCAGGTCAGATATTTATCAATTTCCACCCCTACGAAAGTTGCTGATTCAGTCTCATATACTACCGGGTACGTTGTTTTTTATGGACAGGGCACCTCTTACAGTCACACACATATGCCTACCGCTGTGTGTACATGCATTATGAATACCACTCATGTGTCATTAATCCTGTAACTCATGGCTTTGCATGAGTACATACAAACAATTTTACTTTGAAACGCAGTTTGATTATAAAGCTAATGTACTAGTCTAAGATATACCATGTACGTGTAGGTTCTAACCTTTTCACACATGTCCATTATTTTACACACTAATGACATTAATTTGAAACAATTAACAAAACAATAACCTCTATTGTTTTTTCGATAGCACATCATTCCTGCAGCTATACAATAAGGCATAGTAAAACCACCATGCTAAGGAGTCATTATATAGGTCACCTAGCTGATAAAAGAAATGTAAACACATTCTCTACAAAACTGGTCAGTGAGCTGTATAGTCATCAATATAAATTGACTTGAAATGAGTCACAAATGTGCAGATAAAGTTAGTTTTATTAGTGACAACACATTGAGTCTGCTTGATAGATCAAGAACAGTAAAAAAACAAGAAATGAATATCCTAGTCTCCATCTTTATCATGGTCTTAGATATCATGAATAAGTAAATTTTATTGTATCAAAAACCTAAGTTCCTATTTTAGACGTATTCTGCTGTTACATTTATTATTTCCAACAGTTTAGCGATAGTATTTCAGGTATATTTCAGAATGAAGGCAGCATTTACAGTTCATTCAAAAAGTTGAAAGTTGCTTTGGGATTTCATTGATACAGTGTAACAATGTCGGCGCCAGTGATTTCTTACCAGTGCACAATGTAGCCAAAATGAGAAGCATGATCATCTGAACACTGCTATTACAAAACTGGTAGGAGGTAA